TCTCATTAAGAGGCGAATCTGACTGCCAGCTCTGCCCACTCCTTGTGGTGGTTAAGGTTCAAGTCCAAAGTGCACAGGCCAAAAGACTTGAGTATTTCTTAGAGATGACAAAAATTTATATTTTAAGCTCATCTGTAGGCTTGGTGCAACACTTCAAATCAGAATATCCCAATAAATTAGCCTTACTTCACAGTTTAAACGAGGAGCATGGGCACACCACACCTGTACTACGTACAGCAGTTCATACGGCTGCTTTTAGAGGGGGAAGGGCGAGGGCAGGGAAGGGTTGGAGCGAGACACACACACGAGCTCCAGCGTGACCCTCCATGGTGCCGAAGTTCTTATATGCACCTTGCTTTAAAAATCTGTCCTCAATCTGAGTTGAATTCCTGGGAGAAAATCCAGGACTCCCTCAAAAGTCTCCCAAATAACGGGAGTTCTGCCCGCTGCTTCGATGGCCGTGTAGCTTCTTGACACAGGCGACACTACCGTGTTCTCATTAAGAGGCGAATCCAACTGCCAGCTCTGCCCACTTCTTGTGGTGGTTAAGGTTCAAGTCCAAAGTGCACAGGCCAAAAGACTTGAGTATTTCTTAGAGATGACAAAATTTATATTTTAAGCTCATCTGTAGGCTTGGTGCAACACTTCAAATCAGAATATCCCAATAAATTAGCCTTACTTCACAGTTTAAACGAGGAGCATGGGCACACCACACCTGTACTACGTACAGCAGTTCATACGGCTGCTTTTAGAGGGGGAAGGGCGAGGGCAGGGAAGGGTTGGAGCGAGACACACACACGAGCTCCAGCGTGACCCTTCCTGCACACGTTGCAGCTCACACACTATCACCTGTTTGCCTTTGCGGGCAGCACTGGAGAGCAGAGCAATGTTTGGCATCCATCGCTCTTTGCACTGCATGTGCTGCGAATCTGTCCGTGTTTCCTTAGTGGTATCACTAAGCACCTTCTTTCCTAACCTGGAGTGATGGCCAGGGGCTCCAACAGCTCACAGATCCATTCGGCTGCTGTGTATCAGGAATATTGTGACAAATTCCCTTCTCAGCTTTGATTCCATTATTCTGTTAGAATAAGCACCTATGTCTGCCTGTTCAGTGACTGCAATATGAGTTTAAATTGCAAATCTTCTAAACACAACATTCTCACAATTATCTAAAACTGTATTTGCTATGTGATTACCATTAGATATGAAATGGACACAGGCTGCAGCTTTAATGATTTACCTTTTCAGCTGGAGTCTTTTTTCTGAGAGTGCCTCCTATAACCATGATGGGGCCTGACTAACACACTAATCCCAGAGCTCACATCCCAGGTGAGAGCCACAAACACTTACACACTCCAAGACAGAAAACTCAACCTCTGACTCCAGCTGACACTAGCTTCAATTATACCAAATATAAACGATCTTCCTAGAGCCCAGCATCCCTTCCTAGGCAGGGGCCTTTTCCTGCACTGCCAGACTCAGAAAACAGCATGTGCACACACTGAGAACAGCCTCATTATTATTATTATTTACATTACAACCATGTCTAGGGGCCCAAATTAGAGTAAGGGTCTCACTGCATTTTGTGCTCCAGGATATGAAAATACAAGCCCTGCTCTCATGAACTGACACTCATCTAATGTTCCTTCATTAATATCCTACTCCCTCCCTCCACGAGGGACTGGCTGGAGGGCAGATTTCTGCCTCCTCCAGTTTTCTGCACCCTCACCCTTTCTGGTCTTTAACGTCGCTGGAAGTCTTAAGCTGGGGGTCAGAGATGAGGCCCTGCGTGTTTCCCGGTACCCCTTTCTGTGCTGCAGGCCCAGCTAGAGAGCAGAGGGACGATGCCTGCAGCAAGGAGAAGGGTCACCCGAGCCAGTGTCTAGTAGCAGGGCAGGAAGCTCCGCGAGGCTCGGGAAGGCGCTGCTGCCTCCTGGCCTTCCCCTCTGCCCAGGCCTCGGCCTGGCGCCGGGAGCGGAGCCGGGGCAGCAGCCGCAGGAGCTGCGGGACGGCAAGGACAGACACGGGACACCCGAAGTCCTCCTGGATACCTGTGATGTGTGAAGGCTCTCCTCACTTTTGGCATGAGCAAAATTAAGTTTTTAGAGCATTTTCCTTTCAGGATTTACGGCGAGAGTGACAGATCTTCCTCACGGAAATAGCTGAAAGATTTTAGATGAAACTTTCAACAATAAATGACAAGGAAGATAGCCAGAGGCAAGGACCTGGCGTGGAGAAGTTCAGCCTAAATGATTAAATCTGGCAAAGATAAAAGACAGTGAAAGAAAGGAAGTTTTGGATGATCCCAACACTATGTGCTGCAGCTTGTGCTCTCTATAAAGGTTATTTCCATAGCTTCTGAGTGTCTTCCAGTAGAGCATTAAGCAGTGTAACTAACATCTGTCACATGAGGTTCATTTTCACTCTCATCTCCTCCCTGGAGGGAAAGTCTCTCATTTCTTAACCTCTACTGGACCCCCACTCAATAATGTTCATTGCCTCAAGAGAAAAAGGAAAAGCCTGGCAAAAAGAAGGAGAGAAAAAAAAAAAAGATAATGGAGCTAAGATTCAGGCTGCTGTGGTGAAATTTAAATCTTTTTTTCCCCCAAGAAAAACAGAAATTTCTTTTAAACTTCTTTACGTGATATTTAAGCATTAAAAAGGAAAGACAGATTAAAATTACTGAGCTATTTTTCCTTCATCCATGATTATGCAGCAATTTATCAAAAAAAAAAAATGGAACACGAACATCCGACTGGGATTATTTATTATGCAGTAAGGCATTTCTGCTTTGCTCACTTCCCCGGAACAGTGTCCCTGTTATGGCTAGTTACCCATCTATGTCCTAAGAGCTTTCAGGGAAGGATTAAACTGTCATTTGTTTTATTTCCTTTCATTAAATAACTATCACAACAGGGCCAAGGCAAAAGTGTCAAAGTGCTCACCTTGCTACCTTAAGGTGGCATGGAAGAGAATAACTTCCCTAGAACCAAAGTAAGTTATTGAAAAATTGTTGTGTTTTTTTACTGTTTCCATTCAATAATATCCAATCTTGATATTGAAATACCTTTAGTAAAAATCACAGAGATTACACAACCCCGCACCATGCTTAGGCAGGAGTGGAAGTATCAGGTTTTTGTTTTTTAATCTGATTAGGTACTCCATCTAGTCAAGATGGTCTGGATTTAGGCACTGACAGAATTTACAGCTGATTAGGGCTGGAATTGGGAGGCTGATAAAAATAAAGAGGAATGTGACATCCTTTTCATACGTTAAGGGTTTATCAGCCCTAACGCTTTCATTTGCAGCCCTGCACACAAGAAGACTAGCACCACTCTCGCAAGGACGACCATGGCAGCTCCATTGGGCATCTTTTCCCAAATACAATTCCATCAGAAGGTCTAAAAACTTCTAGTACTTCTTCCCTGGAAAGAATGAGCAAAATAAACCTTCTGATTCAGAGAAAGATAATCTGCGCCCTCAGTAAGAGCAAACATGTGGAAAAACTATTTGTTAGAAGAATGTACCTTGCAGCTATTGCCAAAGATTTTGAAGGGTGTATCTGTGCTTTGGATAGCTTTATGGCTGTGCAGTGGAAATTGCTCATAATGAAAGATAACATCAAGTTTTCTGTAATACCTTTTGTCCAGAAATCAAAAGCGCTTAAAAAGAAGTCCAGATTTTAAATGCTTGATGCAAGGAGCTCCTCATGTAACAGACTAATTTTTTTGAAACAGACAAAACCCTTTGGCACTCACCATGCTTTAATCGACAACTAAGTTCTCTTAAAAATGTGACCATAAAGCATTTGACCATGGCAAAGCAAATGCCTTTAGAGTTGATGGGAGACACTCGTGAGTGGCTGGCACCAACTCTGTGCTGAGCCTTGACAGGGGCAGTTTAGCCAAGGAGGGCAAGCTCTGCTCTACGAGAGGTGCCCAACATCGCTATAGACCAGATAAGGGCCTCTTGCAAGCAGACTCCAGCTGTGGGAGGCTGAGAGTAAAGATATAACACACGAAGGCAAATACGGCTAATATTTTAGTAATTTCCAGGAATTTTAAGGATAGCATTGATGAGAAATACATTTCCACGCTCTGAAGTGCCAGTAACATTTTTGTTGTGGGAAATATTTTGAGGAATTCCTTTGCAAAAAAAAGATGGCAATATACTCGTTAGAAATGGAAAGTCATTCTTGAAGACCCAGGCTTCTAAATGAATGTTATATTAAAGCTGCTGTGAATTCAACTTATTGACTCTCCAGTTTATCCTATAAGCTAATTCCTCTCTGATTTCAATTCCCCGTCACATGGCCCTCTTAATCTTAGTAATTATAAATGGTCTGCCAGTAATCAAATCTCTCAAAGTACTGCAAAATCCTCACCCTTAATTGCACAAATACTTTATTTTTGGAACAACGCAGCTCAGCAACATGCTTCATTTTTCTTTTCATGACTCAGTGTCTATTAAAGCACAGCATTTATAAAAGCTCTAGCTACGTGGAGAGAAAATCAGTTGCTCCTGCCTGGCTAACAGTTTTTAGGTAATCACAATGCAGCTCCACATCACTCCTAGCACAGCAGTGCTTAGAACTGCCTGTAACGAAGCAACGCTGTACACGGCGATGTCGCGCTCCCGTCAGGAAGGTCTCACCCCCGTTATGATCGGTGTTCCCCAGATGTTTGACTCTGAGCGCTAGCTTGGCAAGCGAGGCTGTGTGGCTGCATTTCAAGTCCAAAGCCCGGGCAGCTCCACTGTTTATTCTCATAATTTACGCTTTGTGATGGCTTATGGACAGTTACATACATGGTTTCATAGCTACCACTTCAGACTAAGGACCTGATCCTGTCTTCATGGAGTTCATGGTAAAATTCTTTGCAATTCCAACAGAGGCAAAAGTTGCCCCCACAAGACTGAATTGTCTCTCAAAGCAAACGACCCGATAGAAAACGACAATTTGGTTTAAAAACAATGAAAAAAATGCCTGAAATCTTACTTACTAGGAAGTCTTCTTCACAGTACACTTTACCATTGACATTGTAGAATGCTTTTCCTCGTAGTCTTCTCCCTGTTAAAATATTTTACTGTCAGAATTTTGCACTCTGTTCCCAAGCTTAGGCATTCAGGACAAGAAATAAAAAGCTCATCTGCTGTGCTCTAGCTTGTTTTCTCACCAGACTGTCCGTCCAGATACCTGGGTGAGAATTAGGCTCTAGTCTCCATCATACATTAACAAATTCCTTATCAGCTGAATTTGACCTACGTATGGGTTACAGAACCCAGATGATTCCAGTTCCTGGTAAATTTGAAACCTATTTGCCCCACCCCTGATAATTATTTTGGTGGGAAAAACCCATTTGTAAATTGAGACAATTTTCTTTACTCGGGATGAATCCAGTGTATTTGGCTCTGAAGGACAACAAGCATGAAATACCAGCATATTAATGTAACTGTCACTTTTCAAAATATTAATACATTAATCAATGCTACTACAGCTAGACCTGTAGCAGCCAGCACAAGGAAGCACCAAACAGTACTGAAAACAAGAGATTTCATCTTCAAGTTTGAATATTTGCTGTTGCACTGGAACTGGCTGAGCTTGTATTTACTATGCATGTGGTCATCGGAAGTTGACAGTTCCCTTTACAGTTAAGAAATACATGAGACTCCAGAAAGCCTCAACAAAAAGTGTTAACAAAAGGAATTCCAAGAATACCAAATCCAACAGTTATTTATATATGAATGATCAGAAGCATCTCTCTGTACACCAGAGCAGGTCCATTGAAGGCAATGACATTGTGAGCATAAAACCAGCAAGGGAGAAGAGTAACTGGACTCAGCCCAATTCAGCTCTGTTCCTGCCAGGGTCCTCTCTGGCTAAAGTTTCCAAATATTTGGGTGTTCTCATCAAATCATTTGCAACCCTGGTAAGGAGATGGCGCAACACCTAACAGCAACATTGAAGCTGCCATCAGCAATGCATAGCAACTGCATCATCGCAGGGCAGACCCAGGGAGAGGACAAAAGACTCTTATTACAGGACATCGGGCACCCGGCTTCCAGTTCAGTGTTGAAACATCCACTCCACAGAATAAGCTTGGACTTCTCCCTAGCATCCAAGGGATGGGAACCTCCACCACAGACATTGCCTATCCTTGCTGGGAGTTTAAATCTCAGGGCTGGTGAGCTCCCAGTAGCTGGCAGAGAGCAGAATGGCAGAAGTGCTCTCCATGGTTTCCATAACCAATGTTGAGGAAAATATGATTAATTTTCACTGCTAAAAAGCATCTTTTACACGTTGCCATTGCGATCTAATCCTGGGAAACAATGTGCGGCACAAAGAAGTTGGGATTTGGGCTGACGCTTTTGGGAAATCACATGCTGTATGTGGTTGTCTGGCGGTTTTACTGTCGTGGTCGAGGGAAATGCTTCTTTTGTGTGCACATTCTTGGACCTCAGATCTCACAAGCTGCTGTCTCCATATTGCTGGTAGGTGGAGTCAGTTATTGTTTGTCTTTCTTATTGCCTGGTAGTGCTGCTTGGGGACCACGATCCTGTTACCCTGGGCAATACACTGAGAATACACACCTCCTCTCAGAGACTCACTGGATGGACCAGTTCTAGATGAAAGGCAATCACAGAAACAAGACACAGGGCTGGAACAGCTGCTAGGAGGACATGAGGCCTCTCAAGAGAGATACAGGAGCAACTACCTCTAGATCTTCCCTACTATTTATCCAAGCTGTTCTTAAAACTCACCAGTGGAAGAGATCCATGGCCTCCCTTATTAGTCAGCCCTGGTTCTTAGCTACACTTCTAGCAAGAGTACAGGGTCCTATTCTTAATATCTAACTGCAGTTGTCAGGGAAGCAGTAAATTTTTTTATATCCTTCCCCTGCGAACATGGTGCACAAGTCATTCCCCTGTCTGCCTCACTTGTAAATCTTCAGGCTCACGACTCTTAGAACAGAGCCCTTTACAGAACTATAAATCTGCTTCAAAATGACCTTCAAACTCTGATTCTTTTGAGGACTTGTTCAAAATTGAACTTAGAGCAAACACGGTGCATCACCACCAGCATTTAGCAAAGGACTAGGGAGGACACGGCCCCCTGTCCAATGGCAAAGCTGCCGCCATTTTCAGGAGTCCTCTGGCACCCGTTAGCTCCTCTGCTCTTGCCTGCGGTGCCCGTTTCAGGTTGCTACTGGATATGGCTCTGGATGCCCCGTCCCTCCTGAGTCCTGCTCAGCTACAGTAGCTCTTCGCCTCCTCTGCTCCCTGCCTGCAGAGCTGCCTTCAGGATACGTCTTTTCTGGCTGTCCTCTCCAGGCACAACCATCCCGCCCCGGGGCTCCAAGCTGTGGCTGTCACGTTCACCTCCATCCTCCACAGCTCCTCTCAGCCTTGGGGAGCCGCCTCCATCTCACTGGCACCTTGCAGCGGCTCCTGCAGCCTGCCTGCTTTTTGCCCAAGAAGGGCACACAGGTCACTCTCCCAAAGAGTCTGGGCCTGAAACGTGCATCCACCCACAAAATTCCCTCTCCAGAGCCCTCAAAGCACACTATGGAATCAAAAAATCGTTCCTGGGGAAATACAAAAGCTTTGGCCTCGTATCCATCTTTAATCACCTACTAAAGCCCTTGATTGCCTGACAGATGCTGCTGCAGGTTTTATTCCCAAGTCATGGAGTCACTGCGATCAGGGCACCAGGAAAGCTTCCAGAGGGAAGTCCCGCTGGGGTCACTCGGGCTGGCTCAGTGTTGTTTGCATGGTGGTGATGTCATTTCTGCTGTCCTCTGAACACACCGAGCTTGGGCCATCCTGCGAAGGCGCAGGAGGCAGCGGCCAGGAAAGAAAATTCCCTCAAAACACAACACTGTCCTCTCCCTGGCTGTGTATGCAATCTATACTCAAATGGAAATAAAGGAGTGAATAATAAAAGAATGTAAAAAGAACCGGAGGAGGAAAGGAAAGAGCCAAGAATGGCTTTTTAGATGACACGTTGGTTCTGCAAGAGCCGGCAAGGCCGCATGCTTTGCTTTCAGATGGTGGAAATAAAATGGCCGCACCCAGGCCAGGAACTCGTCTTCTCTGCGCTGAGGCAGCGTTTCCAAATTACTCACAGGGCCTGGCTCACTCAGTGCAGAAAACCTGCCTGCTCATTTCAGATGGTAAATCTGTAGCCCTTGCTCTCCCCACGCCCCCATTATGGTTAAGAGCAGCAGAGATAATTAGGGACAAATCCTGAACTCTGGCCCTGGAAGGATTCCTGCAGGAAGAGAATGCCTTAGGTCAGGGCAGGCAGCAGTTTCTCCTGAGGGACTGCGCAAGGTGTGTGATGGTGCATGGGTCCTGCGCTCAATGCTTACTGCAGAGCCTGGTAGTGCTCATGATGAGGAAAAGGCCCCAAACTCTGCTCCTGTTATTTCAGAGCAAAACACCATTAGAGAAGTCAATCAGGTCTCATTTTTCCATGACGCAAAGCAAGTAAGGCCAAATGATGCTGTCAGCAAACATTTGATGGACATCCAGTTGCCTCAGAACATGAAAAAACCTCAACTCACTCAAGTGCACTGAAACTGCAAGCCCCTGTCTCAGCCACTGTATGAACTCTGAGCCCCTGTTTGCTGATCAGGCCTCTACAAATCTTCTGCCAAGAGGGGCAACTAACCTCCCTTCATACATGGTAGAAAAGCCACAGTTTTTATTACACTTACAGAAGAACACCTTTCAGAACTGAGGAAAAGCACTATTTGCCCCATAATACATATAAGAAAACCTGACTTGCCCAAACTCACAAAGCAAGCAAGCAGCTTACTTGCATAATAATTACCATTATTAGCAATAATTTATAAGATTGACAGGCCTCTCACCTTAGAGGAATTACATTTAGGGATAATACAATAATTATTTCATAAACAAGCAACAGCAAGTTACCGTACAAACAGCATGAACTACACTATACTGGTTTCTACCTACTGAATAGAGAAAATAAAAGGAAAAACATATATTCTATTTGCCCTCCAGAGAATTTTGCTAAATAACAACGTTGAACACCAAGCTGCATGGGTGCCCGTGTCTCTCCCAAGGTAGCACGAGCCATCGCCACCGACCCGGGTACGCAAACGGCTGGAGAGCCGGGCTGCCGGGCGCAGCGCGGGGCTGCAGTCCCAGGGCTCCCCTCGCGCCGGAGCCGAGGGCCGGGTCCCGCCGGGCAGTGTAACTGCCCAGGGCCCAGCGCGCCGCGCGGGCACCGCTGCCGCTCCATTCCTTCAGGTGCCGGGTAACTGCACCAGAGAAGCAGCGGCCTCTTCCGCGCGGGCGTAACCCGTCACCGTCGTTCCCGCAGAGACTGCCAGTCAAACACCACTTTAGCCAGCTAGACAGGGTAATGCCATCCTGCACCGTGGTACCATGAACCTGCTGCCTGACTTTCCTTTAAATGAAGGAGGAAATCCCAGGCCAGGCTAGTTTCTACAATATTGAAACATAACCCAGACTTTCTGACAAAACTTGATACAACCTGCAGATCACTCATTAGAATAATAATAAGCAGTTAGCTATAATGAGCAGTCTACCACAGAGTTCACAGACAGGGGGTTTCACACACACACACACACACACACACACACACACACAGCTTCTTTCCTCCTTTTCTGCCTGTAGCTGGATGCCCCCCTTGGCACATCCGCCCCGTCAGACCAGTTCTGTGCAGTGCCAAGAGCCTCAGCTTTGCACCTGGCCAGAAGAGCAGCGGGTTGGCCTAGAACGCGTGGGGAGACCACAGTAAAGGCCCAAAGACAGGACAAAACTCCTCCCAGCCTGCAGCTTATGAGAAAAACTTTTTTTTTTTTTGCCCGAGTGCTTTCTAGCCTTAATACAGAAAATAAAGCTTATGTGCTCACAGAGGCAGCACAGGCCCTCCTACTAACTCCCAAACTTCTCAGCCAACATCAACAAATTCATCAAGTAGGAAAGCCTCAGGGGTAATTGGGATCTGAGACATTAGGGATGGCAGAGACCTTGCACATGTTCAGCTAAGTGTGACATTTCAATTAGATCTTCTTG